AAATCGGTACAGAGGCCCAGCGCACACACAGACACAGACACAGACACACACACAAACACACATCACACACACACACAGACAACCTCTCGTCAATATGCGTTTTCTGCATTGCATAGCTGCAAAAAACGCGGCTGTTACACAGCACAAAACGCATAAAAATCGGTACAGACGCGCAGCGCACACACACACGCACAACACACACACAGACAACCTCTCGTCAATATGCGTTTTTCGCATTGCATTGCTGCAAAAAACGCATAATAAGTTACAGCCAGGAGAGCATTAATCATAACGTTCCGTTCAGGACACAACGTCACAATTTATATGGAGCAGTATGGTGAAGAAATCGATTTTGGTAACGGTATCAAGCAATGGTACATCAATATGATCGGTAAACATAACTGAAATTGATCGCAAATTCAGGATTAAGCTTTGCTGAACAGCATAATGGTGATTATTGGATGCTTGATCGGTTGAATGATGGCTCGATTATCACATGATTTATTAATCGTATAAGTGAGAACTCTACCAATCGACTGATAGACTAACTAGCTGTACTGAATAATTGACTTGTCGATCGGTTAACTGACTTGAATCAAAAGACTGATTGATTAAAAACTGACTGACAAATCGACAAATTTGTCGATATACTTGTTTCGTCTAATTGTTCATTTATTCGGCCGGCCGTGACAAACAGAATATGAAAGTGGCACCTTCGCCTGGAGCAGCTTTCTCTTTTTGACCCTTCAAATAAGCGGTGTGAAATGGGGTTTTCTAGTGACTACAAGACAAGAAAATAAGCTTTTTTCCGCTAGAAAAAACTCTCGTTTTGGTAATAGCCGATAAAAATTGCAAACTAATGAGATGGTATTTGCAATAAGAAGATTTTCAAAGAATTTCGAAAAAGTATTATGAATGAGCCGCACGAATAAAGATAAGTACCAAAAAGAAAAATTGTACGCCATAGCCGCTTGCGCAGGGTCTTGCGAATAATATAACAAGCCCAGGGTCCAACACAACAAGTATCAGTGAAAGGAACCATCATTGCAGGTCACGGTTCTCCGCACGCTACCGACAAAAACTACAAAAAAGGTATATGGAAGAAAAATTTTAGTCCCGCAACGCTGGTTCGTTCTTCGTTTCCTCAGAACATTTATATTACGTGTACCATTAACTTCTCCGTAATAATAAAATTACATATCGTTAATTTTTTTCTGAAAAAAATACCCTTATTGGTATGAAAAAAGAATTTTTACTCATATTGCTAAAATCTTACGATTTTAAGAAAATCACACATACAAAAATCCCATCGGTTGATTGCTTTTGACATCTTCGCTTGCCTCCAACACCCGTAAAAAGCGAATACAGAGATTTTGATTTTTGACTTTGACTGATTACAATAACGAATGGACATCATGCTTCTGGACACTTTGTCTCTGGTAATATTTTGGGGCACATCGACC